GTGTGTGTGTGTGTGTGTGTGTGTGTGTGTGTGTGTTTTTCCGCCCCCTTCTCCCCACCCTAAAACTTGTCTGTAAAAAGTGACTTTTGGTAGGTCTTCGGGCAGTTTCTTACAGCTACATGTAAAGCCACAGTGATCCAGGAAGATCTCAGCCACAGACATGGATCAAGGGACGGTGTCACAGGGAGACAGGGACCTACCCGAAACTCCGGCTCTTCTAGCAGCTCCTGGAAGCTGCTCTGTCGCCACAGAGCCAATGCAGCGCTCTGCCAGTCTGCAGAAGGAAGGCATGAGGGTCTCCAGGGAGGGCCGGTCACGTTCTCCCCAGGACAAGGCTCTCGGGCCTCTGAAAGCAATCTGAACAAGGCGAACTGAAACTGAAACAGATGCGGATGAGTCCTCAGTGAGGCTGGGAGCAGGGGCCAGTAGCCACTCTTCATGGCCTGTTCCAAGGCCCAGGATCCCGCCAGGTGCTCAACAATACCAGCACCCCGGCTGGCAGTGCTGTGTGCAATCTGTGGGCACATCTGACTGGCCTGGGGCTGGCCGGTATCCCCCTGGTGCTCTCCAGCATGGGGTCTTTCCTACCTGTGCCAAGAGGACCAGCCAAATGTCTTACTGTGGCAGTCACTGCCTGTCTTATCTCTCGAGGGAGATCGCCCTTGGCTACTCGAGAGCCCGGCTCCCCCTGTGAGGCTACAGGTTCCATTCGAGTCTCTCACACAGCTTTCTTTACTCCCGGCCCCTGGGACTAGATTCCTCAAACAGTGAAGACGTGCGTGTAGCCTGGATCCCCAGCACTGCTTCCCAAGGCTCAATTTATTCAGGCAGGGCCCAGCAACCTGCACTTTCAAAGCCTTCTCAGCTTGTTCTAACGTGAAGCCTGGACCTGAAAATCACTTGTTCTCTACACAGGTGTTCATTAGAATTCAGTGAGAGGAGGGCTGAGGTGGCTCACTGGTACAGTGCTTGCCCAGCATGCTTGAAGTACTGGGTTCCACCCTCAGCTCTGAAAAAAGATCTGTGCAACAGTAACTCTGGATTGGACTATAACTTTACTGTCACTTTTGAAATTTAGGGTTCCTAATACTCATTAAATTTTTGCCCTTCTGATAAACATAACAAGCATTACTAGACAAAGGGAATTAGAATGTTTCCTCAAGGGGAAGGATACTTTTTACAAGTGCTCATCTTTGAATTGACCTGTCCCTCCAAATATCAATATCCCCACCCTTAAAAGAAGAGCAGACACTTGAAGCCATCACCAAACCCAGTTTACTCAAATGTGGAAGGACAGCAACGCCCAGCATGGAAGCCACCTACAGCTGTGGCCACACTGAGGGTCCCTGGGCTGGAAAGAGCTGCACCTGATACCTGCTGAAAGGTGGGTGTGCAGACCCACCTTTTTGATAAGGCCTGGAGATAAACAGCTGCGCAGGGCTCCAAGGGGCTGAGGGGAGAACCTGCACCAAGCGTAGGTGATCGCTGCCGTGCAGAACCTGTGGCAAAGAAGGTCCTGACCAGAGCCAACCCCACATCCCATCACACGGGACCAACAGGGAACAGGTCCATACCAATGCAACGTGGTCCATACCGAGCGAAGGAACTGGGCGTGGTGCTGCACACCTGCAATGTCAGCATCTGGGAGGCTGATGCAGGAGGACTACAAGTTTAAACCTAGGCTGGGCAACTTAGTGACTTAGAAAGACCTTGTCTCTAAGCCCAGAGTGAAGGCCCTAGGTTCAATCCCCTACATCACAAAACCACCATCCCCAGCAGAATGAAGGGAAACTGAACTGCACAAAACTGAATTCAGTCAATGTTATAACCACACGGCCTGAAGTTCAGTTCTTGGTTTAGAAAAACTCTCATGCAGCCTCAGCCCAGCTCAGCAGTTTCCACAAGCTCCCTCCTCAGTGAGGGCAGACACCAGGCCTGGCTTCTTCTGCTTCTGTTTGGCACTGGGGACTGAACCCAGAACCTCATGCATGCTACGCACAAGCTCTACCATTTTGCACCTTGACCTGTCTTCTATATTTTAATTGGCGAGTATGTGTCGTTTGGTGGGGGGCAGAGGGCGAAGCCATGGCTGAGGATTAAGGACCGGCTCACTTTAGGCAGAAGAGCATAGACTCCCCAGCATGGCAGGACAGGAGGCCATCGAGGAACTCTGGGACAGGAAGGCTGCAGGTGGCTGTGGCAAGGCCTGGGTCTACCTCTGGGAGCGTGGCCCTGCATTCCCCCAGGTGGACAGCCAAGGCAGCCAAGCCCAGCACATGTGGGGCACTCAAGCTTGGGCCCTGAAAGGAAGACAAGAGGAGGCAGAGCTGTGATGGCTGCCCAGGCACTGAGGGCCAGCCTGGGCTGGGGTGGCACAGCATACCTGGTGACGCAGCAGCTGGCAGAGCCGGGCAAGGACTGCAGGCAGCAGTGCACGACCACACAGGGTCCTCACGAAGAGGGTAGCCCAGGGGCCCTGCCTGTAAGGAGAGCAGAGACCACTCTGGAGTGGTGGGCTCCCAGCCGACATGGCCTCCCATAACTGACCCGAGTATGGGAGACCTCTGAGGGCCAGGTGGTCTCCACAGCACATACAGGCAAGTCTTCCACAGCGTCCCTGTCTGAGAAAATGCTGCCTGCCCCAGGAACACCAGGTGACTCTCCTGCACTCTCACCTCTCTGGGGGGACAAAGCTGCAAGCTGCCATGAGGTCCTGACAGAAAGCCGTCAGCAGCAGATCCACCACCTGCAGGGGACACAGACACCTGAGGCTGCAGCCCTGAGCACACAGTAGCTATGCTGACAGGGGCAGAGGAAGTCACAGGACAAGTGTGTCAGGATGGCCATCCTCAATCCTAAGGCCTCCAGGTTAGTGAGACCAGTAAACTTTTGATGCTAACGGACCAGAGGACAAATACTTTATTGCAAGTGCCCTCTACAACATAAACTTCTTTTTGTTTGTTTGTTTGGGTTTTTTGTTTCGTTTTATTTTGTTGAGGCAGGATTTCACTATGTAGTTGAGACTGACCTGGAACTCATTATGTAGCCCAAGCTGGTCTTGAACTCAAAGCGATCCTCCTGCCTCAGCCTCCCAAGTGCTGGGATTACAGGTGTGTGTCACCACACCAGGCCAACATACTCTTCTTTAAAATGTAAAGGAGCCTAGCACGGTGGTGCATGCCTATAATCCTAGCTACTTGGGAGCTTGAGACAGGAAGATCACAAGTTCAGGATCAGGCTGGGCAACTTAGTGAGATCTTGCCACAAAATAAAACTGTAAAAATGGGCTGGGGATGTAGCTCAGTGGTAGCATGAGCAAAGGCCCTGGGTTCAATTCTGACCCCAAATCCCCCAGAGTAAAAGAACTCCTCCTACACTAACAGGCTATGGTGGCCCAGGCTCCTTGACAGCTGCCTCCCGTTTCCCACACCCACCGCCTGGTGCTGCCGTGGGACATCTGGTGCAAGAATGCTGAGCTGAATCTTCATTTCCTCAGAATAGACTTCATTCCTCCTGTGATCCAAGACAGCACCAAGCTTTTCAGCAACCACAGCCATCTGAGCAGACAGAACTGCAGACAGAAATCATGAGACAGGTGGGAAGTGTGGGGGATGATGCCTGGGAAAGCCAGGCCATTCCGCCCACCCCCAGCCTCTGCACACGGGGGCAACACACCCAATGAGCCCAGCCCGACAATGGAAACCGTGTTTGTCCACACCGCTGGAGGCAAGTGAAAAGGCCCCGACACGTGTGCTACATGGCACCAAGCACACGGCGTGGGCAGCACAAGCCCAACCTGTCCAGTAGTCCCTCCTACTGGCCGAGAGCTACCAGTGCCTTCACTATCCTCTGTACACAGTGAGGTCGGTGAAGCACAAGCCTCTTAGATGTGCGACTCCAAAGACTATGCAGCCATACAGCACTGCAGCACAGAAACCACCTCACTGCTGCTGGAATCAGGGCTGACCTGACTCTCCTCAGGATCTGCTCCCTCAGTACATTGCTTCCTAAAAGCTCCAACTCCCACACTCTGAGCAGGAGCAGGGTACCACCCCAGTCCTGATGACCTCGAAGCTGAAGTAGAGATCACTTGAGCCCAGGAGTAGAGGCTGAAGGCTGGCCTGGGCAACACAGTAAGAACCCTCAAAACAAGGGGTGGGAGCTGCATGATGGTGCATGTCTTGGAGGCTGAAGCAGGAGATCACAAGTTCAAGCTCAGCCTGGGCAACATAACAAGACCCTGTCTCAAAAGTTTAAAAAAATTAAAAAATAAAGGTCTAGAACTTAGCTCAGCAGCACAGTGCCGACCTGGCAAGCTCGAGGTCCTGAGTTTGATCCCCAGTACCAAATAAATACATAATAAAAACTAAAATAAAAAAGGCTGGGGAATATAGTTCAGTACAAAGTCCCTGGATTCAATTCCCAATACCACCAAAAAAAAAAGTCCCAACCCATAACCACCACATTCTGCCTGAGCACAACTCTGAAAGGTCACACTTCTGCCATCGTGCACACAGCCTGGGCACAGCAAGTGAGTACTGCCCCCCCCCAGGCTGTTGAGGTGAATGAAACCCACCCAGGAGAAACAAAGAGCTGTCACACTCAGTGCCATGGCTTGGTCCCCCAGATGGTAGTGCTGGGAGGTGGGACCTTTAAAAGGGAAATGGAAGTTGGGAGCAAGGTGACATGGGGGGGTAGGCGGCATCGCCTTCAGAAGGACCAACTGGTCAGGCCTCCTGAGGGCTTGTCCTAAAGAGCCAGCCTGACCCTCCTCAATCCCTCTGGCTCCGTCTCACAAGATTCTGCCCCTCCACCATGCTAGGTGCAACCAAGCCCATGGGGACTGCCGATTTTGGACTTCAAGCCTTCAAAAATGTAATATGAGTAAACCTCTTTTCTTTACAAATTACCCAGCTTCAGGTATTTAATATGCTCAGTGAAAAGGGGCTTCATTTATATCCTGCATACATCATAATGAAAAGAATCCACGAGGGCCAGGGATTTAGCTCAGTGGTGCCACACCTGCCTTGCAAGTACAAGGTCCTGGTGGGGACAAGAAAAAAGAATCCATGAGGCCTAGAGTGGGTGATTCTGGTTGGAACCACTGGTAACAGTGCTCTGTGGCCATGTACTCCCAGGGCACAGGTGAGCACTTCATCCTGCTTTATACAACAGCCCCGTGTGCTTGATCTCACGCCTACCGTCAGGGGAAGAAAAGAACTATGCCGACACCAACTACTCCCGGCTTCCTCCTCTGGGGACATCCAACAGCAGAACATTCAGCTTCTGTTAAGAGCTGCAGCAGCTACCCTTGGCTGCTCTCCCATCAGCCAGTCAAGCATGCGGGACCACGGGGAGGACATGCCGGGTACACACTCACCCAGGACGCACAGCCCACCACAGACACTGAGTCCTCACCGTCGTACTGCGTGGGGTCAGCCATCAAAGCTCTGAGCTGAAAGAGTGCAGCCCTGAGCGGCCCCAGGGCCTCTTCCACAAAGCCGGGCTCTGTCCCCATTTTGGAGTCTGCACCTGAGGGAGGGGTGGATAGCTTAACATTGGCCATAGGACCTTCCATGTGGGAGGAAAGCAAATCCTAATGGCCACAGCTGTGCACAGATGGTGGACCCAGGCTCAAGGAGCCCATGAGGAGGCCTATGAAGTCCTCTCTGAGCTGGCTACATCACGTCACAGTAAAAACCAACACATTCTAGGGCAGGTGAAGCTCAGTGGCGAGTGCTTGCCTAGCGTGTGCAGGCCCCTGGGACCACGCAAAACTATGACACGTTTATAGACAAGTTTAAGAAAAAATAGGTTGTGGTCACAAAACTTCCACAGCTGTGAAAAGCACGTATGTGATGAAAAAAGACCAGTGCAGCCCTGAGGCTCAAGGGCAGAGTCAGGATCAGGGCTGGAGGATGCTTTATCTGTGCAGTGTCCAAGAGCCAGGTATGGCCCCCACTTACTAAGTCACACTTACGTTCCGTAGGACACAGGTTCAGACCTCCACAACGCTTGTTATAAAAAGGAAAGTACACCATATATATGTGAAGAGTGAAACAAGTCCTAGGGTGGCTGGAAAAGGCACAGGCACACAGATGTCCTGCTGTGCCATGGGCCTCACCCAAAATGAAGCTAGCAACCATGGCTCTTAGCTGTCAGACCCTGAGAGAGGGCACCTCAGAGCCCCATGGGGCAGGCCTCAGCCTGTGGCTTTGGCCACACCACTTGTACCACAGGTCAGGGCACACCATTCTTCGTCCATTCACATTTCTGTTCTCCATGGCTATGGGACGTGGTCTAAGAGTAAGAAGGAGGCACCCGGAGCCAAAACTAGGAAAAGTTCTGCAGCTGGTCAGGACAGGTTCTCATGGCCCGCTGGGCCTGCAGGCAGCAGAGGACCTAAAACAGCAGCACTCACACAGCTCACAACGCAGCACCAGTGGCTGCCAGCAAACAGACCTGCCCCTGACAACACTGCTAGCAATGGCCCATGCAGTTGGCAGAGCCTGGGCTCTAGGAATGGGGCCAGCACAGGCCTGAGTCCCCATCCTTTGTGGACAGACAGACCTCCCACTTGCACCTCTAACTAAACAATCAGAAGACAGTGCCCGCAACCCACCAGGACCACCTCTGATCCCCAGTGGCCACTACGCACTGTAAATGTGACAGAGTGGCCTCCAGAGCACAATACCCCCGAAAGTGCTAGCCAGTTGCTTTCAGATCACCACGCTGGCCTCACAGTGGTGACAGCCTCTGTTCTAGCAGCCCTGCAGTCACCGACACAGGCATGGGGGACAGATGCTCATTCTCACAAGTAGTGGCAGACAGGAGCCAGGAGCCTTACTTTCTGGCTTCTCCTCCTCAGCAGTGGCGCAGGCTTGGCAATAGGCGGCATACAGAGACGGGGGAATTTTGTCCATCCTGGATCAGAGACAATATCCAAGTCAATTCAATTCTCAGATCCATACTTTCAAAACTGTTATAAAACAAAAAGGATACATTAAATTTAAATAAATTATACAGTACTATATAAAGTACTGGTTTTAGAAGAAAAAAAAAATCCAGGAGGGAAGGCATGGAAGGCGGTCTAAAAAACGTACATGTATTGATTCTCCATGATGAACACAATCATAACGTACTACAAACATGTACCAACAACAAAAAAGGCCATGATTTTAAATATATGTATGAAAAAAATAATAAACACATGTATGATTTAAGTGATTCGATGCCACTATTAGTAATAAATAATGAGAAAATAAAAACACCCACCCACAGCCTTATACCGCACAGACACACTTGCCTGCGGGTACTCCAGGCTGAGGGTCCTGCTCTGCCCTAAATCCATCACATGGGGTTTTACACTGGAACACAGCTGTCCCCACTCTTCTGTGTCCCACTGACCCCGGGTGGCCAGGCACCATGGGCAGCCCACAGCACTGTCTTCTCAGGGGGTCTGTGCTACACTTATCTTTCTGAGACAGGGTCTTTGGCAGCCCTTTGTCACCACCTGAACAACACTGTCAGTGAATTTTAAAACTTAGATGAAGTAAGAAACCTACAGAAAGTCTCAGGAAGGGTTAAAAATCTGACTAGAGGCCATCCACGAAAATGCGTCAGGGCCCCATCTCTGACGCAACAAAAGCCACTAGGACTAGAGGTGCTGCAGCCACTTCTGCCACTACTCCACCAAGAGAGAATCCCTGCCATACACAAACTATCCCAGCGAAGAGAGGAGCTACTAGTCTATCCAGAGGTGCAAAAAACCTCGATGCCAAAGCCGTATCACATGAGAGCCCAGACATGGGTGCAGAACCCACCTTGAGCATCGTGAAAACAAATCAGCAGCCCATTAAGCAAAAGAATCACACTAAATAGAGGCTGTTCCAGGGAGGAATCTACCAGAGCAATTGCCGTGAGACGGCTCAAGGGAAAAGAGCACGAGGAGCCTGGAACACGTTCTTGCACAAATCCTCAGCACGGCCACAGAGGGATCTCTCAATGTGACGAAGGTACACACACAACAGCCACAGCAGACACTGCAACTCACGGTACAGCTCGAGAAGCACTCTGTCATAACACTGGCTGATGACGCCTACAATCCCACATCAGACTGTAAGTCCTTCACTCAGAACAAAAAGAGACATAAAAATTGGGAAGGAACTAAAGTGTTTGTAGGTTTTTATCCTGTTTTTTTTTCCTCCGGTACCAGGGATCAAACTCAGGACCTTGTGCTTGCCAGGCAGGGTGGCACCACTGAGCCATATCCCCGCCCCTGTCCTGTATATTTTAATCTTGTACAATGTTTGGTACTGCTTCTACAAAGAAGTTTATAGTGGTACCTCAGTGGACAAACACTTGTTTGCCAACAATTTGGTTCATAAACAGAAGCACCTGCTCATGTTTTGCTTCTGTTTGCAAACTCTGCGTTAGGTGACAAACACTGCCATGGCCACCCTTCCTACATAAACACAAACGTGGTCATCTTTTCCAAATTCGTGCGCTGTACTAAGTTCGTTAAAACTGAGTAACTCAAATTTTCTTTGTAAGTTTTAAATCTTTTCTTTTCCCAAGTGTAAATGTCATTTAAATATATTATGTAGGGCCGGGCATGTAGCTCAGTGGTGTCGCAAGCACAAGGACCCGAGTTTGACCCCTGGTACCAATAAATAAATAAATAAACAAACAAACAAACAATGTGCAGCATTTTAAAAAAATCAGAAAGAGACAAATATTTGTCCTTGCAGACAATATGATTACCTACGAAGGAAATCCAGCCAATTAGCCAATGACTAAGACTAAGTTCAGCAGGGTTACTGAATCCCAGGTGACTTAAACCTCAGCAGTAACTACAACAAAAAGCCAGAGAATATGTTGTTCACAGTAGCAACAAAAAACAGATACTTAGTAGAAATCTAACAAAAGATGCAGGAGATCTTTATGGATACAAAGATACACAATGGAATAGACAATTCAGTATCAGAGTCCACTGTCCTCAAATTAAAACCAATGGAATTCACTGAAAATTCCAAAAATCTTCTCACAGAGACACAAGGTGTTCCCTGAAGCACTATTAAAAGAATAAAACTGTGGCCGGGCATGGTGGCACATGCCTGTAATCCCAGCACTTGGGAGGCTGAGGCAGGAGGATCGCACACAATGGAATAGACAATTCAGTATCAGAGTCCACTGTCCTCAAATTAAAACCAATGGAATTCACTGAAAATTCCAAAAATCTTCTCACAGAGACACAAGGTGTTCCCTGAAGCACTATTAAAAGAATAAAACTGTGGCCGGGCATGGTGGCACATGCCTGTAATCCCAGCACTTGGGAGGCTGAGGCAGGAGGATCGCGGATAGTTCGAGACCAAAAATCTTCTCACAGAGACACAAGGTGTTCCCTGAAGCACTATTAAAAGAATAAAACTGTGGCCGGGCATGGTGGCACATGCCTGTAATCCCAGCACTTGGGAGGCTGAGGCAGGAGGATCGCTGTGAGTTCGAGACCAGCCTGGGCTACATAGTGAGTTCCAGGTCAGTCTCAACTACATAGTGATACTCTGTCTCAAAACAACAACAACAACAACAACAACAACAACAACAACAACAACAAAAAGAATAAAACTGTAACACACCTGAGGCACATCAGTCCATGCAGCCCGTGCAGCAGGCAGTCTGCTGGGTCACTTCTGGGCACAAAGCAAGGTTTCTCAGGGTAGCGAAAGTCAACGAATGAGTACAAGATGGGACAGGGTGAATGAAAACTTGCCTCAAGAATGATATGCACGGCACCACTCACAACTGAGAAGCACAAAACCTGATCTGATGTGTGTACTTTGTGCCTAGCTACCTAACTTACGGAAGTAAGCATGCAAACTAAAAGAATAAGGGAACAAATCATACACCAGTAGCTGGCCATGGCAGCATACACCTGTGATCCCAGCACTCAGGAGGCTGAGGCAGGAGAATCACTGAGAGTTTGAGGCCAGCTTGGGCAATACAGTGAGACCCTGTCTTTGAAAAAAGAAAGAAAAAGAATGAATCATATACTGTCAGGATAAGGGTTTCTTTGGACAGGAAAAGGGAATGAGGTCAGGGAGCCAGACTAAAGGGACTTTGACTCTATAAGATTTTAAAATTTTATTTTGAGGCACAAAGTCTCACTAAGTCAACCAGCTGAGTTCAAACTTGATCCTTCTGGCCCAGCCTCCCAAGTGGGAGGATTACAGCCACAGACCATCAATACTTGCTTCAGTTGTTTATTATTATTGTTTGGAGACAAGATCCAGCCCAGGCTGGCCTCAAACTTGCAGCAATCTTCCTGCCTCACCCTCTCCAGTGCTGAGAATATAGGTATGCACCACCACACCCTGCTCCTCAATTTATTTATTTTTAAAGCAAAGATAGCAAAATATAGGTAGAGGTTCACGGGTGCTTTATAAATAGGTATTTTAAATTGTTATCTGTATTCTTCTGTATATTTTAAATATTTTACATCAGAAATAAATATAAGGCTCCCAGAGAATGGTCTAACTGTAAGATGAAAAAAAATGCCTTTCCAGGCTCTCTCTCCTCCCCATCTTTTTTTTTTTTGTTTTTTTAGGTTAACAGGTGCTTGCAGTTTGTTGACTTTTTTGAAAAAATCAAGTTGTAAACTTTTATTACGAATTAAAAATGAAGTTCTTAAAAATCTCAACTTGACCAGATACGAAACAATGTATGTATTTATTTATTTACTTATTGGTACTGGGAATTGAACTTGGGTCCTTGCGCTTACAGGGCAGGTGCTGGAACCACTGAGCTAAATCCCCGGCCCTACAAACAACTTAAAAACCTTTCAAGGTATCTCCCCATCTCCTTCTAGACATCACTGGAAGGCAGGATTTAGCTCTCTCCTGTTCCAGGAAAACCTTCTAGACGCTGCTACTTTCCGCCACTGGAGGCTGAGGGGCAGGAGAGCTGGCTGAGACTTTCCAGGCAGGATGATCACCGCGTGAAGCTCTCAAGAGACTCTTATTGCCTTGTCTGGCCTCTCCTGTCACCAGGTTAATATACTGAAACATTCACTCTAATCACCAGACCAAGCATCCCAAATATTCACTCAAGAAAGATGCCGTGGTCACTATGTTCTCTGCATGGGGGCCGCCTGAGTCTGTGGGCTGCACTTCTCTTCCTTTGACTCAGCCTAAACTCACTCTACACAGCTTGTTTCTTTTCCTACCTTTAATAAAAATTCACTACAAAAAAAAAAAAATACTAGTGATGTTATTCAGAGTGAAACAAATTAAAAAAAACAACAACTAATTTCTGAGTCAGTATTTTACATATAAAACACATTTAATATACGAATTTCTCTACAAAAACCATCATCTCTGCACCCCTGAAATGGCAGCCTCCCGAAGCCCTGGTGTACCTCCTCAGAGACTCGATGAACGCTGCCCTTGCATCAGGGACCTTGGGGAGCTGAAGGCAGGAGAGGATCAAGTGAGCCACACACAAGGGCACCCTCCTTCCCAGACAATGGTGACACGCCACTCACCACACGCGGCGTGAGCAGAGCAGGGAGGAAGTGGGACATGTAGTAGGGCCTCCTGAATATGCTGCAGCAGAGGGAGAGACAGCACTACGATTAGTCAAGAGAAAGGCACCCCCCCACAGATCCTAACAGCCCAGGGGCCTCTCCAGCTCCACACTCGATGTTTGTTTTTGCAGCACTGGGCCTTTACACTGAGCTACATCCCCAGCTCCTCACCTTTTAATTTCTGGGTTTTTTTCCCCACCTTTTAATTTATTTTGAGATAGGGTCTATGTTGCCCAGGCTGGATTTCACTTGGAATTCTCCTCCCTCAGCTTCCCCGACTGTTAGGATGACAGGCAGCTCAATTACGGCTCTGAGGTTTGTTTCCAAGTCCTTTCCACTGTTCTGGACAAAAAGTCTCACCAAGGGCAGTCTATACTGTAACAACCATGCAGTCTAGGGAACTGGGACCGCATTCCACTTGCCCTGGGCTAGCCACAGAACCTGGGCTACTCAAAAGCTAGGAGGACTGCTTTGGGGCTAATCCAGGTCTTCTCCTTGGAACTGGTCTCAAAATGGCAAAGAGTTAAACTCAACCCACCCACACTGGCAGCTACCAGAATTCAAGGTATCTGGGATCACACTGAATTCAATAAAGTTTTACTGCTTAATTTCTGAAACTAGCTCTACCTGATCCCCAAGAAGGCATTACCTAAAACATGCCTGCCCATGGCCCTGTCCTCCTGCCCCACACAGTCCAGGGGCCCCACCCTGGATGTTTTAGCTGCGCACTTCTGGACCTCACTCCACACCCACAGCACCATCTCTGACCTGACATCCAACTCTGATCTCCCACAAAGAGAACATGACCCAGCACACATGCAGCTCTGTGAACAGACCCAGTCACACTCAGAAAAGCCCACCACCCTGGAGCTATCACAACAGCCCAACCGTACCTGGCCTCCAGGACAGGGGCTGGGACTTTCCCTGTGTGTTCAAACATCGAGATGGCCTTCTCCACATCCTGGGCCGCTTGGCTGCGGGGCTGGTTCCCACCCAAGGAAGCAGAGACCCGAAGATGTGAGGGAGAGAGAACAAGCAGCTCAGGCTGGCAATGCCTGCCTGGCCACATGGCCGTGAGCCTGGGCAAGGAGGCCGGTAACTCATGAACCCCGACACAAGCAAAGCGGAGACGAACGACGCTGCCACTTTCCGCCCTCAGACACTCAGGCTAGGCCCTCTGAGGCTCCTGGGACGGCCCCACCGGTCCCCTCTGTCTGCCTGCACCTCATCCCGCCTACCCTCTCTGCCTCTCAGGAAACGACAGGTGTAATTTTTGAGATTAAAAAAATGCTGAAATGGCAACTTCTGAACAGTAATAAATGTTAAATGGAAAACTGCGTGACATTCCTTCACCCAGCACTAATGGCACCTGTGAATATTCTCTCACAACTTGGAACTTTAAAATGGCACTTTTCTACAGTTCCTAGGAAAACTGGGCAGCCCACTCCATCCTAGGAGACCCGGCAGCGCCTCTGTGCGACAGCCTCCCAACCAGCATAGTGCCTGCAGACATCGCAGGACAAAATGCCCCAGAAGGACACTGCCGCCTGCATCAGGGGCAACACCAGAGGACAAACGCTCAAGCCACAGCACAGAGCAGCAGACCAAAACCAGGAGCAACGGAGGCCATGTTACCTCTGTGATGCCCCCAGCCAAGGACACATCTTCATACAGTCCCATGTTCTCCAAGGAAACCTTCAGAAGAAAATGAAAATGGGAAGAAGGTGTTCGCTGGCTGCTGCTGGGCAGGTGGGGAGGGCAGCAACTTGCCTTGAGGTCAGCCAGCCGTGTCCTAGCCAGCGAGATGTAGTCAGTGAGGAGGCAGCGGTACTTGCTTGGGACCAGTGGCGGGGAGAGAATGTGCACCTGGGACAGAGCACGGTGAGTCATCCCCTGGGATGGCGCAGGAGCAATGCTGAGCAGAGACAGACACCAACCAGCAAAGCAGAGCCCGCCACAAAAAGGCTGGAAGTCAGCATGGAGCCCTCCGTGAATGGGCGCTGCGGGTGGGGGCACTGTGGGCCGCCTGCAACCCACACCACGGACGCTGGCTGTATCCTGGTAAAGCACAAAGGACACACTACCAACCACAGAACATGGGAAAGACCAGGCCTCCACAGACTAAGGCCAGGCTCTGAGAGGGGTCTCTGAAGAGAGAGGCGGGCAGCCAGACGGCTCCCCAGGACGGAGCACCCTGACACTGATGGTGGGGTTCACAGCTCTGCCACGAGACAGCATCTCACCCTAAAGGGTGACTGACTTAACCAAAGATACAACAGCATAAAAGAGAAGGGGACCCAGAATACAGGGCAGGCAGGGGACCTTCCTCCAGCTCCCCTGAATGGTAGCATAGCCCTCAGTCAGCCACAAGCCCCACCCATTCTTTCTGGGATGCGAGACAAAGGTTTAACAAGAACAGAAGTCAAGAGCTGGGCATGGTGGCGCAGACCTGAAATCTCAGCACTCAAGAGGCTGAGGCAGGAGGATCATTGAGAATTCGAGGCCAGCAGGAACTACATGAGTTATAGGTCTCTAAAAACCACAAAACTCAAATAAACTAATATAAAGTCCCATTTCCTTACTTCCACACTTGGGTATGAGGACCACTGGCAGTCTCAGGGTACATCCTTTCAGATTCTTCTCCTTGGGTATACGAGATAAACAATTTTCTAAAAGCAAGGGTGGGGCTTCCCTACCTGGCAAGCTGCTCAGTGTCTTTCAAGCCCACCGTGGCCATTCACACTGCCTCTCCTGGGTGGACTGCGGGCAGCTCCTGGGATCCGGGCCCCTTCCCCCATTGCTCCCGCCACACCAGCTTCCTGTAGCCACCTGGGAAAGGGCAGGGGCCGTCCAGGCCTGGAGGGTCCACAGGAGGCACAGATGCAGCTCCTCACCTGCAGGTACCAGGGGGCCTCCCAGGGCACGAGGTCGGACAGGAATTTGAAGAGGAAGACCAGGGCCTTCTTGCTGCAGCTGTGGTAGCCATGAGAGCTCCCGAAGGAGGCCTGAGGGAATAATGGCGTAATACCCATCACTAGGCACCCACCCTGCAAGCTATGCCTTCCATACACAGAAGTCTGCTACTGACAAAAGCTGACAGAGGGCACTGCTGTGCCACCACAGAAAAGATGGACTGAAATTTTATGCAGAGAGCCAGGTGTGGTGACGCACGCCTGTAATCCCAGCACTTGGGAGGCAGAGGCTGGAGGATTGCTGCAAGTTCAAGACAGCCTGGCTATGTGGTGAGTTCAAGACCAGCCTGAACTGCATAGCAAGACCCTGTTTAAAAAAAGAGAGAGAAAAAAGAAAGAAGTTTATTCAACGAAAGTTAGAAGTAGTTGCTGTAGGCAACAGTAACTGTGGGACCTCCTGTAGCCCCCAAGGGCACGCTCATCCAAGCAAACACATTCATTCTGTCTGACAGTGACGCTCCAGACCAAACTGAAACTTCCAAATCGACGTGTGAGGTAGTGTGACCCCTGCAAGAGGGGCGAAGGCAACGATCCTGCCCTCAGGACCCAAGAGCATAGATTGGAATGGGACAAGGGAGGGTGCGCCAGGGCAGCCCTCCCAGGACACAGGTGCTGAGGAAGGAGTGGAAACTGGCTCTGGCTCTGGGAACCTGCAGAGAGCATGTGTCTGTGGGGACGGCCACACAGGACAGCAGGCCCACTGTGACCTCAGGGCCCCGGGTCAGGCTCCAGCGTGGTGTGTAAACCTGGACAGCAGCATCCACTGGAACCTTACCCTGGCCCCTGACATGGACAGCACTCCATCAGAATCAGCCAGCTCCTGCATCGTGATGTGACGCACAGACAACAAAAGCCACCAGACTAAACGGGAAATGCTGAAAACACTGTCCTGTGTGTGAAGACAGTCAGGGAAAAACCAATCTCAGAGACACCAACTGTCTGCACCAGACACCAGGAAAACAGCGCAACAACCATGGGTTAACGATTCAAAGAAAAAAAGATAATGCAGGGTCATCCCTACCCCATCCACTTCCCACTGAGGAGGTTCTCGCACCAACAAGGGAGGGAGGAGACCCAGGCCCACTGGGAGCTGCCCCTCTCTTTGTGAAACTTGCTCCGTTAGACCTGCGCTTCAGCGACATGCTGACCACAGGCGGGCCGACATCAAGGCTGCCTCCTGGGACCTGCCATTCCCAGAGCCCTCTGGGAGACACCCACAGAGACACACACCCAGCACCGCTGAGTCACTCTGAAAAAAGGCAGTTATTATAAAAAATTATGTAGCTGCATAATGTGATGTACTACAAACCACAGCACTGACCAGAGGGCTCAAGTCAGCAACTGTATCCCCTATTAACATTTTTAAAAATATAGATTAAGAACCAAATACAGCCAGGGATTAGAGCTCAGTGGTACTGCCTGCCTCACAAGCACAGGGCCCTGAGTTGGATCCCCAGTACCAAAAAAAAAAAAAAAGTGGTACGAACCAAATGCAGTGGTAGGAGAGGCTGAAGCAGGAAGGTGGCTAGGCCCGGGAGTTCAGCCAGTTTGGGCAACATAAGAGACCCTGTCTCAGAATATGTATAGACAGTTAAGTCTTTGGATCTTCACCTCTGAATACACAAGAGATATATTTATTACAATGCACCCAACTGTAAATGTAAATTGGTCACACTTTATTTAAATTATATCTTGAAAAAGTTGACTTTAAAGAGTAAATGAAAAGCACAAGAAACCAGCACCACATTGTCACGTAGCATTCATAAACGGCCCTCCGCAGGGGCCAGCCCTGGGCAAGTCAGTCAGACCCAAGACACTGATGCCACTCACACCACCTCAGCAATTCATAGGGCAAAGGCACTGCAGCAGACACCGCGCACACACACCAGGCACAGAGGTCAGCAGTGTCGAGGGCCAAGTGCAGGTGAGTTCTGGGGCTAGGGCAGTCAGCTCCTATCCATCCAGTGGGTGCTCAGGACACTTGGGCAGGGGCAACAGGCCCAGGATGCTACGCGGGGATGAAGAGCAAAGGATACATCCACCACCCACCCAAACCCCACCTCAGACGAGCTGGTCACAATGCCTTCCCAGAGACATCAACTCTACAGCAGCGTGGGCGGGAAACCTGAAGCTTCACAAAGAGCAAGGCAACATTGCAATGGCAAACTTGCACCAGGCCATAAAAGGTTAACAATGCACCTGACCTTCCAGGCTGATGCCTCAAGGATCCTGCCTCAGCATGGACTGGCCAGACCCCCAAGACTTGCCCTGGAGGCATAGCTTTTGTGGATCTGGGTGGTCCCAGGCCTGCCCTTCCAGAGCCCTCTCCAGATGAGTCTGAGATTTGGGGAGTACTGCGAAAGTGTCAGAGTGAAAGTGGGTACACTGCAAACAGTGACAGGTCTAGGAGCTGTGCCTCAGATGCCCAGATAGTCCTACAGAGTAACAGACAGTCAGCTCCTGCCCAGTGGATTCCTGACTCCAAGAGGGATGGACCCATGGGAGGAAAAGAGGGATTCAGAGCCCCCACAGCAAGCTGGAAGCTGATTCAGGCCATCTCTGCAAATCACCCAACTCTGCCTCCTTGGGAAACTGGTGACTCCTGCTAGCTGGCCTGCCCACAGCATCACAGTCTGGTAACCAACTTCCCAGGCAACTCACCTTGAACCAGTCTGCATAGGACAGGAATGCAGCAGGTCCTTCCAGTGCGGCCTGGCGTACAATCAGGAATGCAGTGACCATGCTGTCCAGATGGAATCTCTCAAAGGCACCAGCCATCAAACGGGCCACCCAATCTGTGAGACCATGACACAGGCGACTCGAGACTGATTGATGACTGAGGGACCCATCCACGATATGCTGGCCAGAATACCTGGTGACCGTCAGCAGGACAAGCATGGGTCACCCAGACACACTCAGGAGCAGCACTCAGCACCAAACAGGCAGAGGGTCTGCAGGTTAGGAAGGGCCCTGTACATGGGCTCACCCTCAAGCACCAGGGTTATGCTGCCATCAGTATGCAAAGCACATATGCATACACACGGCACACCCGGCTTTCTGCACGCACCTCTTACCAGCTGCTGTGCCTCAGGGAAGCAGATGACCAGCACAGACACACAGGACAGCACACGCTGCCAGTTGACTTCCTGCTCCTCCAAAACTTCCTGCAGACAGCGAACTGCTTCCTCAGGGCTCAGCATTATGAAGAGCTGAAAGGAAAGCTCTGCTCCTGCCACAGCTCAGCCAGCCACCAGACACAGCACAGGTCCCTGCCTCCCTCTAGCCACAGCCCACTGCCTGCTGGACAGCCTGGAGGTGGCAAGGAGCAGGGACATGAGAGTCACAGCGTCTCTCCTCTCCACAGTGGTCAGCACTGGCTGGAGGAACTCTCGTCCCTGGTGCTCCGCCAGGGGACAAGTTCCCCTCCTGACCCTGGGATACAGCCCAGGCGGGAACAACCATGTCTTGAGGAGACTCAACATCCGGCACTAGTGTCCACTTATGGAAATGTGGGAAGCACAGGGACAGCCCCACTCACCCGGCAGTAGAGAGACGTAAGCAGAGGGTGTGTTCTCGAGAAGCTCCACTCTCTCTGCATCTGGATGGCATCTGACACTGCAGGAGGAAAGAGGAACAGGAGCTGCAAGTCAGCTTCTCAAAAGGCTACAATCCAAGCTTCAGAGAGGACAGCAACTGCTTTAAGGTGTGTTTTCAACTCTCCACAGCCTCTCTGTTTGTTAACCAGTCATCTCTTGGTGTCCACAGCTTCTGGTTCTAGGACCCCCAAGGAACCCCACTGCAGATGCTTGTGTTCCCCCATATACAGGAAATGATGATTTGCATGGAACCCGTACGCATCTGCCCTGCACATGATTACTGTAACACCGTGTCCAGGGTAAATGCTAAGTAGTTGTTGCACTTTTTAAAAATAAATCTGCACACCTTTAGTACAGATACTCCAAAGTCAGTTGAATTCACAGATGTGAAAACTGTATTTTCAAGCTGGGGATTTAGCTCAGTGGTGCTGCCGCCTGCCTTGCAAGTGTAAGGTCCTGAGTTCGAGCTCAGTACAAAAACAAAAAAAAAACAAAACAAAAACTGTATTCTCTACTACACCAATTTTCTGTGGCTTTGGCCCAGTTCCCTCCTGATAATTGTGTCACATTCATGAGGAAACCTTTCCAATAATTAGTTACATTTTGCTACTTCAAAACATTAAACTATCTGCAGACCAGTCCCAGTCAGGGGCTACCCCAGGGTGCTTGCCTGGAGCAGGGGTCCCCCCTCTCAGCCTTTTGCAGCTTCACACCTGCCCAGGCCACAAAAGTGAGTAGACAAGGTCACTACAGCAAGTCAGTGCCACGGAGGATGGCGTTCTGTCTATCCAAGGAGCCACCTGGTGTCTGGGCTAACGAGACACCCACAGGCAGATGACAACATGAAATCAAACACTTAAGAAAAATATAGAACAAGGGCTGGGGATTTAGCTGAATGGCACCACACTTGCTTTGCAAGTGGAAGATCTTGAGTTCAATCCCCAGTACCAAGAAAACAAAAACCAAAACTACAGAAATGCTTAAGAACAGGTTTACAAGTCAGGCATAGTGGCGCATGCCTGTAATCCTAGTACTTGGGAGGCTGAGGCAGGAGGATCGCTGTGGGTTCGAGAACAGTCTGGGCTACACAGTGAGTTCCAGGTTAGTCTCAACTACATAGTGAGACCCTGTCTCAAAAAACAAACAAACGAATAGGTTTCTAATGATGTACAAAATGAAACTGGGGTATTCACAGTGCAATTATGTCATTTAAAAGCCCATTCAGGGGCCAGGGATTTAGCTCAGTGGTTCCACTGCCTACCCCACAAGCTCAATGTCCTGAGTTTGATCCCCAGTACCGCCCCCCACACCGCCAAAAAAAGCCCATTTAGGAAAAAGCTATAAAAATTGTTTTGTGTAAAAGATAGCTCTGTTGGGGCTGGGGATGTAGCTCAGTGGCACCACACCTGCCTGGTAAGCATAAGGTTCTGAGTTTGATCCCTGGTACTGGGGGAAAAATAATGATAGCTCTGTTTTGGCGACAATGCAGGTGATAATTCCTCTGTCCTCTCTTTTTTATGCTTACCGGGGATCAAACTCAGGACGTTGTGTTTGCAAGGCAGGCATGGTGCCCTGGCCCTGTCCTTTCTTCTTTAATTCTAAATTTCCTCAAAAGGAAATTACTTCTTTTTTCATGGTGTGGGGTATGGAGTCCAGGGGCTCACACGTACCAGACAAGTGCTCTACCACTGAGCCACACCCCAGGCCAGGAAATGACTGTCACATGAAAGGACATTAGTGATAAAAGTCCTTCACCATCTGGAGGTGTCTGAAGAGGGTTAAACCGCATCACCTACTTCAGGGCCCCATGTTCCATGGACAAGAGCCACAAATCAGGGCCATTGGAGGGAGCATCACCCAGGTATCAGGGGACACAATGGGCAGGGGCAGGTACAGCACAGCTGGCCTACCTTTCAGCATAGGACTGTGCGTGAGCGTCTGTACCAGTGTGTGATGGAAAAACTTCTTCAGAGGATCTGGCGCAATCACACAACATGAGTGTGCACTGAACACATCGAACCTGCAGCACAGGAAGTCAGAGTCAGGGAGGGAGCACTGTGTCCCTCCACCACGAATGGCACCTTGGCCCGCAGGCACCATCATCTGCTAGTGAGGACATCAAACTACGGGCTTTAGGCAGAATCCAAGGAAGGTCATCTCGACAAGACACGCACAATGAAGAGGCTAGGAGGCTAGAGCAGGCAGGAGATTGGACACAGTTGGGGAGTGTGGGCTGGATGGAGGCAAGGCCATCAGGCCCAAGCGACAGGCCCAAGTCCACATGCTGCAGTTTACCACGTGAAATGGGAGTCACTGACCCTTCCCACCAGGGGGCCGCTAAGTCTGGAGCACAGCTGGGGCCACACCCAGCACACACTGGCCCAGAGTAGCTACTGCTGCTAGAGCCAGTGCCATTCTCTGGAGGGTTGGAAGAACAGGGCAGGCACCCGGAGGACTCTATGGGACAGGGTGCAAGGACCTGAGGAGCAAACAGAAGTCCCAGTCTGTCCTCAAGGGTACTTGAGGGCTTTCAGCACAGTCACCGTCAGCCCACAGCTCACGGACCCCAGAGTTGTGCAACAGACGTGATGCTCACACCTACAATGCAGGAAACTACATCCTTGGCTCCCCAGGTGACAGCCAGTGGTCTCACTGATTAAATCAGGTGCCTGCAGGTCACCCAGCATCCGCAGGTGTCATCTCTGCGCAGACACAGATGCCTCAAGAGGCACAGACTCCAGGGCCAACTGCACAGGGCAAGACCTCAGGGCACACGGTTGCTCAGGGCCTTTCCTGCCACCAGAGCAAGTCTGATCTTAAAAGCACTGGTGACTAAACACTCTGACATAGTGGCAGTCGTTACCGGGCTCAAGGGACACCAGTTTCAGCAATCTGGCTGTGCAGTATAGACCAGACTGTGTCCCCACAAAGGTCACACGGTGAAGCCCTTAGCCCTGGCACGAGCATCGTTGTAGGGGCCTCATGGTGACATTAGTGTCCTCGTATAGAGACCAGAGAGCAGCTGCCCCCTCTCCACACAACTGGCAAGCATTGCAGAAGGGGCCCTCAGAGTCTAGAATCACAGGACAGGTCTGCGCTCTGAGCCAGTCCACCAGCTTTGCTGTGGGAGCCTGAGTAGACTGACACACACTCAGACATTCCATGAAAGTGCCAAGTGATAAGTGTGCCCAGTAAGTAAACCTCAAGTGCTTGTGGTACACAGAACACCAGGAGCAAATTATCGAAAACAGAACAACCGACAAGGCTGGAAATACTGGGGAATCTGCCTGGCTTCTCAAGACTTCCACCTCACGGCCCCACCCACCCCAGAACCCGTGCCCCCAGGCGCAACACCCACATCCGCTGCAGTCTGTCTCTGTGTCCCCATGTGCCCCAGAGAGAGAGAGCTGAGGCAGCTGATGAGCTGTGCCGAGGGCGGCAGTGAGGCTGAGCTGCAAAGTGAATGACCACACAGATCTAGAAAGCACTGAGCTAGCGGAAGAGCAGCGCTCGGGACACGAGCGGTCACCTAGGCACAGGGAAAGGGAGCTACAGCAACCCTCGGGGCCTATCCTGAGCCAGAGCAAGGTGGGCAGAAGAGGAAGCTGAGCAGAGCCCAAGGCCATCAGCAACGGCAGGTAGGGTGCCCAGCGCCAGTGCTGCCACCCTGGTCCTGACAAGCAGGGTTGCGCTCCCCAGACGTACCAACACCTCACTGCCTTGTGAGCCGGGGACTCCTCCTGAAGGCCAGCAGCCAGGGAGTCCAGCGCAACTGAGGAGAGAACGTGCGACAGGACAGCATGTCAGCCCAGTGACAGCTGTGACACAGATGCAAGTCCTGTGACACACACACACACACACACACTCCCGGACAGGGTCAGTTTCCACATAGCACATGTCCACAGGCCCCCAGACACACAGATGACACCAGACCACCGTGATATCCAACACGCTCAGGCACCAAGGTTTGTGAGGTGGAAGAGTAATCCACAAACAGGCCTGCCAAGCACACGACAGGTGACAGAGCTCAGGAGGGCTGAGGGCTGAGAGCAGGCACACAGAGCACAGCCGCACAGGGGACCAGCTGCGGGCCCAGAAGCAGGCCCAGTGACACACAGGGCCACCTGCTTCATACGAGCCTTGAGCTTTGTAAACGGCTAGTAAGAAAACAAAATATTTACAGTTTGAGTCCTGAGAGTCAACTTACAGTTCAGCATTTTCTGCAGCACAGCCAGGGCAACCTGTCAGAAGGCACACGCGGCAATTTTTAAGCAGTGACCCACATGTGCCGCACAAGGGAACTGTTACATAAATTACAATGAGAACTGCTTTGCAGGCAGGGCCACTTCAAAGATTTCTGAAGTTAGAAATTACCCCAGACAATGACTCAGCGAGCGCCTCTGCAAGTTCCAGCCATGACACAAGTACTCTCAGCAGAGCCTGGAGCCACAGCGCTAGCCTCGGCACACACAGGGTCTGCTAAGGTGTCTTGGGTACTGTTACGGTTTATATCTAGATGACCCCCCAGAACCTCAGACACTCAGAGGTCTGGCTTTGGGGGGTGATCGGGTCATGGGGGAGTGACACTCATCAGTGGATTCACCCATGGATGAGATTACGGCTAAGTGTGATGTTGGAAGGTGGAGCCTGGTGGAGGAGATGGGTCGCTCTGAGCAGGGCCTGGAAGGGTCTAGCTCCCTTTCTACTCCTTTCCTTGACACTGCTTCCTGCTGCCATGCCACAAGCACAGCTCTCCTCTGCCATGTACCGGTGCTATGCCATCTGCCTTCGAGCCAGCTGACTATGGACTAAAACCTGAGGTAAAATAAACCTCTCTGGAGTCCTTTACTTTGTGGGTTTCAGGCATTGCCTTAGCAACGAGAAAGTGACTAAGACAGGTACTCTAGCGCCTGGTCAGATGGTCGCTGGTGCTGCAGTGCCCTAGCCAAGCATTCTGGGTATACCCCAGCAAGCACAGGCCTGTGTGCTAAAGACCCTGCCTGGAGACCTGTGGGGGTCAGAAAGCTTGGGTAAGAAAACGTTCCCGCCAGTGCCTTTCCTTTACGTCTCCCAGACTTCCAGAGGGGCAACACATGGGACACCTCACACCACCATGGACTGCCCAACAAAGAACTCAGACTATAACGTGGACAGAGTGCCAGCCACTGGCCCTGAAACGTCCAAAAGGGATCTAAGGTGTGGATGGGGTTGTTCTTTGGGCCATGGCCCTTTGTCATAATGAGGCCGATTCTCCAAACTCTGCACCTTACTCTTCCTCCTACCTGAGACATCTTCTCAGACTCCATGGTCCTTCCCAGATCAGAGTTGTCCTGAAATGCCCTCAAAACCAATAGCTGCACAAAATCTGAAAAGGCATAAACCCAAAATATTTACGGACAACATGGTCTCCAAACAGCTGTGAGTCACACAGGTCCTTCAGAGGGCTGGGTGTGGGCGTAGCTTGGAAAGCTGACCAGCACTGATGGAGCACCTGACTCGGGAAAGCCTACCCGGTCTCAGCACACAGTCATTCACCCAACCACTGTCCTTCCTGCACCCTATTTTAGAGGGAAAAGCTTAGAGTAGATCGAGTTTATATTTAGGACTTTCAATACAGGGAAGCAGGGCCAGGGATGTAGCTTAGTGGCACTGCACCTGCCTCACAAGTGCAAGGTCCTAAGTTCGATCCTTAGTACTGGAAACAAAAAGAAATTAATACAGAGAAGCAGATTCCAAGAGACATCTCATGGATGTTCACTCCAGCCAATCCTGACTACAGGAGGACCCAGGAGCCCTGCGTTCCAAGGAGCAAGATGGTACATAATTCATTCCTTTGTAAAGGTGGGAAACAAGAGCCTAAAGTTAAAGAGGCTTTCTGTTCCACCTTCACCTTCAAGTTCACTTCACTGGGACCAGAACCAGGAGCCGTGTGCCCTCGACCATCAGAAAGAATGCTTCTTGCAAAGGAGAAACCCACAAGCTGCTGGCGAATCCTGGTCCTTATGTGTAGGGGGCCTTCCCGGGCATCACCAGCAATGCAGAGGTCTGTGGCTTGAGTGCAGAGGGGCTGGGGTTTCTGTCATCCAGCTGACTGAGTAGAGTCCCCAGCTCCCGGGTCGATGTGAGCCCACAGGGTCATGCTGGGCCTGCCTCACAGGGTCCCACTCCCCACCCAGCCAGGTGCCTGTTCCCCAGTCCCTTGCTGGTGGTGACCCTACCAGAAAGCATAGCCCTGGTAGTATCGCCGGACTGGCAGGATGCTTCCATCTGCTCACACAGCACGCGCAGGTTCCCGAAAAGCCACACCGTCACAGCCTGAGCTTCGGGATGGCTGGGGACAGACAGACACCTGATAGAGCCCATCCCTGCATCCATCTCTCCTGAGGGGCAGTGACTATTTCTCTGTTTTGATACAGGATCTTGCTATGTAGCCTAGAGGGATCTCAAACTCATGATCCTCCGCAGCACTGTGCCTGACTAGGGCAGTTTTAATGTTTACCTCACTAGGAAGCAGGGCCAGTGAGCACCAGCTGGGCACAGCCTAGGGCAGTGGTGGGAACCTACAGCGCATGCTGCAGCCCGCTGTTTGTATCACTAAAGCTCTAAAAGGTTCACCATCACTGGCTTATGCCTCTGCCCAAGAAGTCCAAGTGGGTGTGGACGCAGGACCTGCCTGCTTGCTGCTGACACAAACATAATCATCTCCACACAGCTCACTTATGCGGAATAGCTCACAGTTGGTGGGCCAGTGACCGCTTCTTTTTGAGGAAACTTTGTTCTTCGCATATTTTCTCTACTGATTTCCATCTCACTGCTTTTTGCCTTGATTCTTACTACTTTCTTCATGCTTAGTTTGCTCTCCTTTTCCTGATCTCTAAGATCTCTAAGGTTTGGACCTAGGTTGACTGGAGAACACTTTTTTCCAAATAGAGGCTTTTACAACTATAAATTGCCCTCTAAACATTAGCTGCATCCTGTAAATTTCAGTACACTGTTTTCATCTCCATTCTTCTCAAGGTATGTTCACTTCCCCTTGTGATCCTTTACTCCATGGTTATTTAGAAATATGTTGTTGAAGACAGGTACTGGGGTATACATCTCTAATCCTAGCTACTCAGGAAGCCGAAGCAGGAAGATTCCAAACTCTAGCAAGACCCTGCCTCAAAATTAATTAATTAAATAGGGATGGGGATGCAGCTCAGTGTTACAGTGCCCCAGGCTTGACCCCCAGTACAGAAGGAAGGGAGGGAATGAAGGAAAACAGAGGAGGAGGGGAGAGAAGCTGGAGGGAGGGAGGACAGATGCTGCTTAGTTTCCACATTGACTTCTGGCGCTGACTCTGAACTCCTTTCTGGTTAGAAATCCTATCCAACCTGTTTCACGGCCTGACCCTCGTGCCCTCCCCTGGGCACTGTCCCCGCACCCCAGTGAATGAGCTCTCCAGCTGCGGCGGAAGTACCCAAGCAGCCGGCACACTCGACCAGAGCACAGAGCCAGAAGCCCTGGGACAGCAAGCCTCCCACTCCTGCCCACTACCTCTCCAGCAGCTCCTGCAGGCTGACGACGCTGTGCACATGCAGGCGCCACACAGCTTCCAGCAGCAAAGAGCTCTGAGGAGAAGAGAGACTGTGAGTGCCCTGCATGGGTGGCTTCCCGCCCAGCCCAAACTCTGCCCTTCATCACGTAGCCCTGTGCTGTCCGGCACAGCCTCTCTTCTGACTCCTGCCCACCAGGCTCAAGGAAGCTGTTCCAATCCTCCCCACACTGCAGCTCATGTGCTCCAAGCACACGTGGATAAGTCCATCTTGCTATCTTCTCACAGCTTGCAGGATGAAACTCAGACTCCCATGTGTGCCCAGCTTCCCTGGTCTTAACTTTCCTTTTTCTAAATACTTGCTAATCATAATTACTGCTTAATTATTTGAACTTTTCAAAAATTTAGGGGCCAGGGATTTAGCTCAGTGGTTCTGCTGCCTGCCTCACAAGCAAAAGGTCCCGAGTTCAATCCCTGCTATCAAAAAAAAAAATCTATAAACCTACTGAATTCAAAATGCTCCAAAAAAGAGCTTATAGGTACAATTATTTTGTGTTTGAGAGTCTCACTGTCTAGTCCAGGTTGGCCTTGAACTCACAGAAATCCTCCTGCCTCAGCCTCCCAACTGCTGAGATTACAGGTATGCACCACTATGCCTAACAATACAATTTTAAAATTATGTATGTACAATTCTTCGCTTTGGGGGGCGCGTTGAGACAGGGTCTTGCTATGTAGTTCAGGTTGGCCTCAAGCAGAGATCCTTCTGCCTCAGCTTCTCAAGTACTACAATCACAGGCATATGCCACCATCTCCAAATTTTAAATTATATTTTTATACCTTTCTGCCGTAGAAACCTTCAAACAATATATTCAAGAAAGTACATCATCATGTTTCTGAGATGTGTCCATTCTAACAAGCACTACTATAATGACAAGTAAATGCCAACAGGGAACCAAAGTTCTTCGTTCCTGCCCACAATATATTGGATGGAGACCTCCCTCCACCCTTTTTTTAAACTCTCTAATGATTGAGGACTTTGGCTGAATTCCTAAGAAAGCCCAAGGACCCCCAAATCAAAAGAACACCCCTGGAAAACCTGACTAGAACTGCAACCTCAAATTACCTGCACTCTCCATAATTCCTGACAGAAGGAAAGACGAGAGAACATACTGTGTGCCAATAAATACTGAGCAACATCTAACAAGGAAGCCACCTTTTTCTGAAAAGAGAAAATAGTTTAAAAGCAGGCCCAGTAACTAAAACAGTATTAACGAAATGTCCCATTGCTCAATAGCAATGCCATCTGTTCCCACCTAAGGGCACCGGATCTTACCCTCTGCTCCGAGCTGAGCAGAACTGGGTGGCCAGGCTCCGCACACACCTGCTCCATGCTGTAGGCCACCATCCTGGCCGCCAGGAGAGCCACAGGAACCCCCAATCTCAAGGCTCGATCCCGCAAGGCAGAGCCTTAAAGACAAAACCACAGCCTTCCTTGAAAACATGGGGAAACTGGAAACACAAGACTAGGGTTTAAAATGTCCCTTTTAAGTTGCAGCATTACAGAATACTGCCTGTAAAGGAAAAGACAGCTGGGCATAGTGCAGCACACCTGTCATCACAGCACTCAGAAGGTGCAGGCAGGAGTTCAAGCACGTCATGGTCAGAGCAGCTTCTGACACAATCATTAGTAACATCGGGACCCAGAGCTGTGAACCTGCACTTGTTACGTCTCATTTGACACAAAATCAAGCAGAACCAGCAGGGGCATTCTGACACATATGTACTTAGGGAACATCCTTCTCTCTCGAAGGAACACCAGGAACTGAGAACCCCAGTGGGCTCATCAATTAATTTTGCTTTTCCAGGGGACATGACTGGGGATTGAACCCAGGAGTCCAGGCACACTAAACAAGCGCTCTACCACTGAGCAACATTCCAGCCTCTTACTCTATTTTATCAATTATGTCACAGCTGAGCCTCTTCTCACTGACTACACTGATGCTGGAGTCAGAACTAGGCAGGGCTTTCCCAGTGCTCTGCTTTGCACCTGGGGACAGAGAAGCCACAGGTGTGCTGTCAGGCAGAACCTGAATTACTGGCCCTTGGGCAGCCACCAGGCTTCCTGAGCAACCAGCCTCTGGCATGCAGCCCTTAAAGCAAAAACGCTTAACAGGGTAGAAACGGGCACTGCCCATAAGCAAGACATTCTCTAATGTACATTCTTCCAAAACTAACTTTCAAGAAAAACAGGAAAAGAAAATATATTATGGACATGTACTAACTCCCCACAATGAATGTATCACTGTGTTCTGGAAATGTACACTAAAACTTTTTTAAAATGTGAATTAGGGCTGAGGATTTAGCTCAGTGACAGCGTGCCAATCTCACAAGCGTGGTGGCCTGAGTTTGATCCCCAGTACCAAAAAAATAAAAACAAAAATTTTAAAAATTAAAAAAAACAAAACAAAACAAAACAGAAAATTGCCCATTATCTGCAAGTCTCTGAAAACACATAAATATCTAAGTGAAGCCATGTACAATAGCTACAGACACTTCAAATAACAGTATTAGAAATCAGTTGCAGGCCGGTATTTAGCTCAGTGATTCCACTGCCTGCCTTGCAAGTGCAAGGACCCGAGTTTGATCCCTAGCACCAAAAAAAAAAAAAAAAAAAAAAAGCTAATTACTAAGCACCTGTTTCCAATTTATCTCCACGAGAAAATCTATTCCTCTTTCTTTACAAGCCTTTAACAGCAGTATGGTAGCCATCTCCTTAGCTTGAAAATCAAACTAAAAAATTAGTGAATTAAGAGACTATATTTCTATAGTCAAAGTTAAGATATTCTCATATAAGTTTTTATGCTTTGATCCAAAGAGCATACAAGAACATATGGCTAAGGGCCAGGGATTTAGCTCTGTGGCACTACACCTGCCTTGCAAATGCAAGGTCCTAAGTTCGATCCCTGGTACCAAAAAAAAAAAAAAAAAAAAAAATTAA